GGCTTCCACCTGCAGCTGGCCACCCATACAGCTCAAGCAACAGCCACCAATGACCCATATAGCTCTCAATCCTGTATATTAAACAGTGAAAGCAGCAAATACAAGAATGGACTTTATTTTCTACACTTTAGTCTAGAAAGGTGTTGTAGCTATGGTATCCCGCCTGGCTGTGCAATTGTGGGCACACTGCTCACTAAGCCTTGGTTCCCCATCACCTGAGGTACCCCAAAACACACACCACTCCAGAATTAATAAGAAGGTGTTCACTGCTGCTGCTGAGATATCATGAATCAGGAAACTTGGCTCAAATGAAGCTAAGCACCTCATTTCCTCCTCCTCAGACCCTACAGTAAACTGAGGACATATGCAGTACAAAGCTCCAGAAAAAAAAGCTGTGAACTTTTGACTAAAGGCTTTGAAATATATGACAAAACTCAGCTACAGAAAAGATGGTTTCTTCCCTGAAACTTCACTGCAATGGAATAATCACTTTCAAAGACTTCACTGAGTATTCTACATCTGAGAACTTTCAGAGATGCAACAAAGCGTGATAGTAAGGGCGTAGATCTGAGCCTCTGGAACCAGACTGCCTGTGTTCACACCCTGGCTCCATCTGTTACTGGCTGAGTTACCTTAGCCAATTTACTTAACTTCTCTGGCCTTTAATGAGAATAATAATAGTAACAATTAAAGCATGTGGAGATGCTGTGCCTGGAACTCAGAAATGTTTAGCATATAGTAGATGACATGTAGATATCACTCAACATATGATTACAAAGTCACTCAAGTGCATATGAAAAATATATACGTTTACTACTTTTCATATTTTCATGATGACTGAGAATGACAACAATTCTAGAACACTCTGCCCTATTCAACACTTTGTAAATATTAAATAAGATACCACATCTCTTATTTTGTGTATGTATATGTATATACATAAACATACATACATATATATCTATTTGAAGAAAGGATTGTTAGAACAATTCAGTTAAATTATAGATAAACTTTTCCATATCCAATTTAAAAACACTTAGAATTTTTGTCAAGCCTCCAAACTCCCTACTGTTTAAGAGCAAAAATGTAGTTTAAAGGGACATCATGGGAAAAGATGGGTCTTAAATAAGATAATCATAAAAGGGAGATTGTAAGAACGTAATCATATTCCCAAACAGAGGGTGAAAGGTTGGAGACTATTAATAAATACCAAGGCTTCATTAACAAAGCACAGAGCCAAAGTCCTTAGGGTGATGGCCACTCTCACAGGCTCCTGACTTCTCCAGATGCAGGTTAGAAGGACAGTACCATGTATTTGGTATTTACAACGGATGAATCACTGAGATTAGTCCAAACTTGTTCCATACTGACTGTCACTGCTTGTACAAGGGACAATCATAGGGCTGGCAGAGTGGCTCAAGTGGTAGAGCACCTGTCTTACAAAGGACAATTATGTCTTCATCAGCCTTAGCAAGTTAACATTGTTAATAAACAACCTTTCTGTCATATAATTGCATTTTTTTTTATTTTTGGCAGTACTGGGGTTTGAAGTCAGGGCCATTTGAGCCACGCCCCCAACCCTTTTTACTTTAGTTATTTTTCCAGTAGAATCTCACTTTTATGCCCAGGCAGGCCGAGACCAAGAGCCTCCTATTTATGCTTCCTGCATAGCTGGGATGATAGGCACACACCACCACGCCCAGCTTCTACTGGTTGAGATGCAGGACTCTCAAACTCTTTGCCAGGCCAGCCTTGAACCTACATCCTTCCCAGTAGGATAGGTATGAGCCCTATGTCTGCCATCACGTAATTACATTCATATTTATTGTATGCACAAACCCAACGTAGCAGTAAATCATTCCTGAGTGAAGAACCAAGGTTAAGAACATCAAATCAGAGTGCTTATAGTTTTTGTGGTTTGCTGTAGCTTAAAATAATAATCACAGCAGCAAGCACCTACTGAGAACCTACTACATACCAAATTCTTTGGCAATCTCAACTGACTTAATCTTCGTAGTAACTCTATGAGGAATGTATAAGATTAAGCAACTGCCCACAATCCCAAAGATAGCAAGTGGAAAACAAGACATCTTCAAGTCCCAAAGGTCACACTCCTAGCTTCTAATATCTATAGGGTGCATTCCTGCTCCCCTCCCCCAACATGGAATCCTATCCCCAAACTGTTTCCTGTAAGTATGCAGCCATCCAAGCATTCTGACCTTCAGTGGTCATTTGCAGTTCCTCTTACCAAAATACACACAGTTATCTCCAAAATATAAACCACACTACAACACTTCTTACACATGGGCTCATTTTAGCTGTTTTTCCAAATACTTCTTTGTAAATGGGACTACTGGCCTCAAGACTGGCTCTTGAGGTACAGAGGAAAATATCTCCAGGTTGTTTGCAATGTTTTCTACTGTTTGTAAGTAAAAGCAGTCTTTCCATTTAATAGCAATGACTCACAACTACTCTTACAAGATGTCTGCTGTAAATCTACACTACTAGTTCCCTATAATAAATAGTTCCTGTGTGCCACTAGAATGACTGCTCTTCATCACTAATGATAATGACGGGTCACCACTCCAACGTCACATAACCTCTAGTCAAAGTACTTCCTATCTAGGCTATTTCTTACAATTCACTATTAAAATACCTAGAATGTGCATTCTACAAGCTGGAAGAAATCTGAACTTCTGAATAAAAATATGACTCAAGAACATCTGATGTTATGGCCCTTTATGGACCTCATGACAATTTTATAAGTTAGCTCCAGCAATGTAATAAATAATTTGGTGAAATTCTTATGTTAAGATTTCTAAGGAGAATTGAAAACTTTTCTGTCAAATAACTATTTTGAAACTTCCCTAATACTCTTAAAGCCATACTGAGAGGAAGCATCAGGCAGATTTCAGTGTGGAGTTATACATACGAGGCTTCTGCTTAAACTTCCAAACTGCTTTGTAATGTTTAGCCTACATTCCTGATAAAACAATACTCAACAGTTAGCGCTGGTTATCGAAATAGAAAAACTTTAAAAATCTAAATCTCAGTAAATTCCTTCCACTGATTCCGAATGTCACAGGACTAGCAACTGTTTCCAGATTATCTAGGCAACAACCTCCTCTCTACCCACAGTTTTTGACCCTTGAGGCAGACTCGGGTCCTTCTGAAGAAAGCTGTAGGCCAAGCCAGGTGCCAGTGACTCACACCTGTAATCCTAGCTACTCAGGAGGCAGAGACCAGAAGGATCACAGTTCGAAGCCAGCCCGGGCAAATAGTTCGAGAGACCCTATCTTGAAAAAGCCTTCACAAATACAGGACTGGTTGAGTGGCTCAAGGTGAAGGGCCCTTTTGGTACTGGTTCAAGCCCCAGTACCAAAAAAAAAAAAAAAAGAAAAAGAAAGCCGTGGGCCTTCTTCCCAGAGCAGTGCAACGGTGAAGTGGATTCCCAGGTCCCAAGAGAACTCCCTCTACCTTGTAGTAACTGAAGGGAGAAAGGTGGTGGCAATCTCAGACTCAGACAGCAAATTAGCCTCTCAAACCCGCCTTTTCATAGATCCCAAGTTAAAGGCACTGGAGGGGTGAATTAGCTTAAAGACAGCTCTGGTCAAATGTATTGATCCTCCAACCCAGAACCCTTTTTTTCCTTGAAACTCCACATGGTGGATACTTCTTGCCTTTCAGTACTGGGCTAAAATGTCACATTCTCAGAAAGGATTACTTTCCTGACACCCCTTCTAAAGCAGTTCTCAAGACCCTTTGTACCCCTTGCTTCTTTTTTTTTTTCCTCAACAGTGTTTATTATTTTAAAAATGTCTCATTTGTTTTCTTCTTTTTCTTTTTTACTTTTTTGGTGGTACTGGGATTTGAACTCAAGGTCTCACGCTTGCTAAGTAGGTATTCCACCACTTGAGCCAGCCCTTTTTGGTGTTAGATATTTTCAAGATAGGGTCTCACAAACTATTTGCTCTGGCTGGCTTCTAAACCCGATCCTCGTGATCTCTGCATCCTGAGTAGCTGGGATTACAGGTATGCACCAACAGCACCCAGCATTTGTTTTCTTTTTTTTTTTTGGTGGGATTGGGGTTTGAACTCAAGGCTTTGTGCTGACAAATCAGGTGCTCTACTGCTTGAGCCACACCTCTAGCCCTGTTTTCTTCTTTACTTTGTTTGCTCTATTAGAATATAAACTAAACAGGGGCAAAGGCCTTGTCTGTCTTGTTCTCCACTGTTTCTGGTATACAGTAGGCATTTGATAAATAACTAAAATATAGGTGACTGATACTGACAACAGCTACCAAACTCTTAACTAGCTACGAGCGAGACTTCTTTTTCCATAATCTGTGAATCCATCCAACCAGCAAACATTTACTAAGCACCTACTCTGTGCCAGGCACTGTTGCAGGTGCAAGGGATACAGCAGGTAGTAAATTAGCCACGTAGCCTTGCTCGGCACACCCTGTATTTTAGGAGACCGCCCAGAATAAACAGATGTCTTGCACTCTACAAAGCCTGGAACATACAGATCCCCTTCTACATGCCTTGAGGGAAAGAGCTATGGAAAGACTCCAAATGAAGCGAAAACACTCTTCAATGGGACACTTCCAAAGCAAGCCTCCTTGGGCGGTTCTTGCCACTGCTCTGTTCACGTGAGGGAGCCCCAAGCAGCGGAGCCCAGGTAAAGTAAAAACTTAAGGCAAGGGCAACCGCCTCTGAGGAGTTGGAGGTGGTGAGGGGAGGAACCAGGAAATGGTAGAAAGACTCGTGGCAAGGGCCCTGAGCAGGGCAGCTGGAGAACCAGCTCCGGCTGTCACTAACTTGCTAGGTGACCTTGGGCCAGTCCGGAGCCGCACGGGCACCAGTTCTCCAGGGGTTTAAGGAGGAGGCGGCCAGGAGTGTGGGATTCGGGGCCAGGGTAAACGGAGGCCCGGAGCCCGGGCTGGGTAACGGCCGGCTTGGGGAGGCCGGCGCGGGCCGGGCTGGGGCGGCTCACCCACCGAGCGCCACCTGGCAGGCCCTGCGCAGCTGGGAGTGCTGGGGCCGCTTCACCTCCTTGTCGGCTAGGATCTTCTCCAGGGCTCGGGATACGAACATGCTCTTGGTCTGGCTCTCCTGCATCGCCCCAGCCGGCGGGGGCCAGCAGTCCCGCGGACCGGCAGCGCGAGCGAGTAGGCGAGTGAGGCTAATGAGCCAGGCGTCCCGGCCGGCACCGGCCGCGTCCGTGCGTGCTGCCCCGTCAGGAAGCGACGCCGCGGCCCCACGGCGCCGCCATGTTGGAACGCGTCACGTGATCACGTGACTGACAGGGGCACTAGTCCACCGTGCGTTCGCAGACCTCGTGACCCTGGGGGTGGGGCTTAGCCTGGGGAGGCGGGGCGGGGCGGGGCGGGGCGAGCAGGGGCGGGGCGGAGGAAGAACAGCAGGTAAGGATGTGAGCTCAAGCTGGTGGAGGGACCAAGGGAAGGGACCTGGGGTCAAGAAAAGGAGATTAAAAGGAGGAGAGGTGGCCTGGGGAAGAGGAGGTGTGGATGCGAGGGGATGAAGGGGAGAGAGAGGAAAGGAGGCAGGAAGGGGAAAGAGAAGATTGGAGAAAAGAGAACTAGTGAGTGAGAGAGGTGATAAAGAGTAAGAGGTTGAAGAAAGAAGCAGGAGACTAAAGAGGAGGGGTGGGTAGCAGGAGAGGGAGTAGAGGAGGGGCCTGAAAGGAGGAGAAAAAGAGAGGAAAGAGGAGGTGGGGAAAGTGAGAAGCAGAGAGGAGGATGGTAGGAGGTGAGGGAGAAAGAAAGAGAAAGAGGAGCACCTGGGAGCAGAGCAGAGCAGAGGGGGACCCAAGAGGAGCTGTGGAGAGGGAAGAAGATTAAGAGGGTGTGCAGATAGAGGGTATGGGAGGGGATGAAGGGGATGAGGTGAGAGAGCCTGGAGAGGAGGAAGGAAGCAGGGGTGGAGGGAGAGGAGGTGACCCTAGGAAGCCAGAGAAGGGGGAGAAGAGTATTCAGGGACATGGCCTCTTGTCCTGTCCACAGTGACGTTCATGAGCCTCTGCTTGCTGAGTGCCAGCTCTGTGCACTGAGAAGGAATGGCCTTCCTCTGAGATTCAGGTCTGTTTTGTAAACCTGCAGTCCCTCACCTTGCAGTGGGCAGGACGGGGACTTTGGGGCATTGGACAGGGGAAGAAACTGACCGAGCCAGTAAATGAGCGTAAGGAGACAGAGATCCTGGCCCCCAGACTGCTCCTACTGCACCACAACAGCAGTCAGAAGTGATTCTCTAGGCCTTTCCCCTCAGACTACCATGACTCAGAACAGGAAAGTTGTCTGGTGGAAATTTTGGAACTTTCTACTCAGGCATGCTGAGATGCCCAGGGCTCGGCTCAGACATCTCCAGGATGCTGTGTTCCCCCTCACCACCCTGCTGCTCCCTAGTTTCTGTTTTCCACAGCACTCACTGGCCTTTTGTATTCATTCACACTAGAGCAAGGCTGTATCCCCAGGGTCTGGTGCAGAGCCACAAACACTGTTTCTTGGTCATAAATTCCGTAAGTCTTGTTGCTTATAATGTAACTTGGCAGCTCCTTCTAGCAAGAGGTAGAGTCTATTTCTCCATCCCCTGGAGCCTGGGTGAGCTGTGTGACTTGCCTAGGCCAATGGAATATGGCAAAATGAAACCGCCTGTGTACCAGGGCATCAGGAGACCTGACCCACTTACTCCTTCCTTTGCTCTCTTGGGCTGGTGCCCAAAGCTCAGAAGCAGCCCTGGAAGAAGGAGCACATGAAGAAAACCCAGTCATAGCTGGGCCCTGGTGGCTCACACCTGTAATCCTAGCTACTTGGGAGACTGAGATCAGGAGAATTGCAGTTCAAGGCCAGCCCAGGCAAATAGTTCTTGAGAACCCCATCTCCAAAAATAACCAGAGTAAAAATGTACTGGAGATGTGGTTCAGGTGTTGGAGTGCCTGCTTTGCAACTGCAAAGCCCTGAGTTCAAACCCCAATCTCACAAAAAAAAAAAAAGAAAGAAAGAAAGAACCCAGTTGTCCCAGCTCTCCCAGCTGGGTCCATTCTCCAGCCAACATGCCTGCTGAACCTAGCAGCAGAAGAGACCCTGGTAAAAAAGTAGGACTGCCTGGATAACCCATAGAATAGTGGAAACCAAGAAACCATGATTGTAGGTCAGGACATTTTAGAGTAGCTTGCTAGGCAGCAATAGGCCACTAAGATAAGCCTTCCACCCTTACATGTTGAGTGAGAGAGTTAGTGAGTGAAGGGATGTGTGAAACTCAGAAAAGCATAGTGCAGTCTGCTGAGTGACCAGTTTTGAGCCACACCCTGCAGCAAGGTCAGAATGACACAGGTAAGGGCCACCACAAGGAAACAAAAAGCAAACTCTGGGCCCTTCACCTGTTACCTATTAAAGGAATGCTTGCTTTTTTTTTTTTTCCTTTTTCTTTTATTATTCATATGTGCATACAAGGCTTGGTTCATTTCTCCCCCCTGCCCCCACCCCCTCTCTTACCACCCACTCCGCCCCCTCCCTCTCCCCCCACCTCAATACCCAGCAGAAACTATTTTGCCCTTATTTCTAATTTTGTTGTAGAGAGAGTATAAGCAATAATAGGAAGGAACAAGGGTTTTTGCTGGTTGAGATAAGGATAGCTATACAGGGAGTTGACTCACATTGATTTCCTGTGCGTGGGTGTTACCTTCTAGGTTAATTCTTTTTGATCTAACCTTTTCTCTAGTACCTGTTCCCCTTTTCCTATTGGCCTCAGTTGTTTTTAAGGTATCTGCTTTAGTTTCTCTGCATTAAGGGTAATAAATGCTAGCTAGTTTTTTAGGTGTCTTACCTATCCTCACCCCTTCCTTGTGTGCTCTCGCTTTTATCATGTGGTCATAGTCCAATCCCCTTGTTGTGTTTGCCCTTGATCTAATGTCCACATATGAGGGAGAACATATGACTTTTGGTCTTTTGGGCCAGGGTAACCTCACTCAGAATGATGTTCTCCAAAGGAATGCTTGCTTTTAACATGAGTAGGCCATAAGGCCAGAATGTTTGCAGACCAGGAGCCTTTCTTGACCAGACTGAGATAAAAGTAGTGGGGTTCAAGATGGCTACAGAAATGACAAAGACAAAAGGGAATTGTCACCAAATCGAAAAAACACTGTCCCATAAAATGCCACTGGGAAGCCCACAGAATCAACTCGGATACCACTCTGTCAGAGCAAAATCACAGAATTTGCTCAGTTGACTTACCCACCTATTTGGGTCACACAGCCTAGCGTACATTACTAGGTCCCCACTAGCCCAATAAGACAACACTGCTGACGTGTGGGCTATGATAACAGTTGCCTAGGCTACTTTGAAGAAACTCAAGGCTACTTTTGCTAAAAATACTGACACTTTACTAGAGCCTATAGTTAATTGGATGGTGGCTAAAACGGGATAGAAGGCTTGGCATCTCAGTCTTCATAGCATGACTGTCCCTTGGCTGCCTCAGTTTCTCAGCCAGATTCTACTCAGCCCTGCATGTAGACCTGTCAGTCACTTGAGAAATGTTTTGTCTGAGACTATAACACTGGGTGAACTTGGCTTGTTGCCCATTGGACCTGGTGTGTGTTTCTTCTACCCTGTCTTCGTGCTTTCTGGGCAGCTCAAGTGCCTATAGTCCCTCAGCCTTGTCATAAAGACCAGACAGAGCCATGAGGCCAGGACAGTTATGCAAGTAACATGAGTAACTCAGCAGTGCCTGAGAGAAGTCTACCTCCTGTTAGCACATCAAGTCCAAGATGTTTGCACACAAGGTCTTCTTCTTTCCTCTGTTTCTTTTCTTTTCTGTTTTCTTTCTTTCTTTCTTCCCTACCTTCCTTCTTTCCTTCTTCCTTCCTTCCTTTTTTTCTTTCTCTCCTTTGAGACAGGGTCTTGCTATGTAGTCCAACTTGGCCACAAACTCACAATCCTCAGCCTTCTGAGTGCTGGGATAATAGGCATGAACTACCATGCCCAGCTCAAAGAACACATCTTTAAAATCTCCTTGGCTAGGAATGGTGCTGCATGACTGTAATTCCAGCATTCAGGAGGCTGAGGCAGGAGAATGGTGAGTTTGAGGCCAGCCTGCGACACATATGAGACCTTGTCTTAGAAAAAAACATATATCTGTATGTAAACTATGCCTATAACTAATGGACAATTATGAAACCTCACCATCCCACCTCCAAAAATGAATAAAAACCTGCTGCTCCCCCTTGTTACAGGGTGAAACCTGGTCACCTCTGGTCAGTGCCAGCACCCTTTGACTCAGTTCATGATAGGTGGCTTGGTCTCATTTCTCCCCTTCCTATCCCTGCCCCTGCAAAACCCTGCCAGTGGCATCCCATGCCCTTGGAACCGAGTCTTAGTATTGCACTGTGCCCACAATGTGGCTGGGACACCTGATCTCTCCCACCTCATCTCTTCCTCCTTAGAACTCACAGGTCCCCTCAATGGTTGGCTTACATCCTCCTGTGCCTCTCAATCAGTGCCTTTATGAAGGCAGAGCCACTCTTGGAAGTTTTGACATTTTGTGGGGAGAACATTTTTAGTGTCATAATGGGGGGTTCCTGGGGAAACAGGGACACTAGACACATCCTGCACAGAGCTTGTATAGCAAGAGTTGCATGTATGCCACATGGCTGGACCTTCCTGATTGGTGAGGAAACTGTGGCTAGTGACCAGAGCTTAGGACCTAAGTCCACTTCGCATACAGGCACACAGTATTTTTTGCAGTTTTAATATTACTACGTTCTCCAAAAACACAACTATCATCACATAAGAGAATGTGTATTTTGTCTGGAGTCTTACCATTAGAAAACTGCATCACCATCATTTATGCCGATCATGGTGTCTGACTCCCCCAACAGCAGTCCTGGTCACCCTGCACTTGTGGTTGCTGCCATCTGGGGGTGCTGACTTTAGGTCCTAGCCTTCAACTGCCTCATTCTGTCTGCTAGCATCATTGAGTCTGAGCATTTAACTATTGAAATAAAATTAGTAAATTATACCCTGCCTACCTTTTGGTTCATCTTCATTTTGTTGAGTCATTATCTTTCATTAGGAAGATGTTATTAGCTTCATATCGGAATAGTTCCCAGAAGCCTTTGGTTATGAAAAAGGGTGTGTTATGTCTTGTCTATCGGGACCACAAAGCATGCTTGCCCCTTTCTGTCCTTCTGTTCTCAGTTCAGTGTCCCCGCAAGGGAGGCCCGTCTGCTTTCTTATCACCTTATTTCTTGCACTAAACTT